AATCTTAACCAGCTGGTTTAAACTTATACCTCTAAGTAACATAGTATAAAACTACATCAATGGAAGGGTACTTACTAACAGCAACAATAAAATCTTTATGTAACTTGTAAGTCATCAGTGGTTCTGCAAGGCACCTGCAAGAGAGAATGAAGCAACTGTAGAATGGCAGTATCCTTTTATTTCCCCTGAACTTTTAGTGCTTCTTAAGAATTGGGTGATTAGGTACTAGGGAAGCTCCAGGCAGTCCTGAAATGCAAACCTCAGAGGTGCCAATGCCCTGTAGCACCTCTTGCTGAGAGGTGGCTGAGAGGTTATTTTTTTTTCACTTTGTGAGCACAACCCCTCTCAGATATGGGGACAACAGTTTAAGAAAAAAAAAAACAAAACACAAAACATTAAATTTCAACTTATTTTTTAAAAAATACATGGGAACCCCAGTTAAAATTTAATATTAAACAGAAATTAGTATTCCTCAAATATTGAAGGCTTTTACTTTTATTATTTTAAAAATCAAGTATAAATTCCAGAATACTAAACATAAACATTACCACATTGTGCTAGTTCACCTTCAGTGAAGGAAATGAACTAAGGAGTGAAACTCACGGGCAGAGCACCAGGCGTTAAATTTTCCTCACCTGAGGTAGTTTTTTAGTCCACTTGTAATTGTCTTGTTGTCCCATAGTTCAATATCAATGTCAATATCAGGAGGAGATTTTGGAGCTGAAAAATAAGATGTTTAAAGTGTGCACTTTGAAATATCATTCACCCCATTAAGAACATGGATCCAAATATAAGCAGGTCAAAGAGAGAGGCATTTATTTCTTAGGATACCAATGAACTTAACTTTACAATTGTTTGTGTGAGTTTGCTTAAAGCTCACTCTGATACTAAACCTCAAAGGTGTCTTGCGGAATAATATTTTTTAAATCAAATTCTAATTGCTAACATCACAGAGTGCTTACCATATGCAGATATGCTTCTCAGTACTTTACGTGGATTAACATATCCAATCCTCACAAAGCTCCATGAGGCAGGCATTATTATTGCCCCCATTTTATAAATGAGGAGGCTGAGGCTCACTCAGTTTAGCAAATTACCTAAGGTCACAAAGCTTTGAAGTGGTTGAGTTAGAATTCTAAACCAGGTAATCTGAATCCAGCATCCATAAATCTCATTATGCCTCTAGTTAATCAAAGGATACTTGACAAAAAGTCTCACATTATAAAAAGATGCCCTCTCAAATTTTGATTGTTCATCTGTTATAACTGAACATTAAAAAATGAATACAAATACTAATTTTAAATATTACTGAAAAATACTCAAAGACAATTAATAGTCTATCTCAAAACAAAACAAAAATAAATAAATAAATAAATAAACCCCTATGGTTGGGATTATCCGTAAGAATATAAACATCAAGTAATTAGCTTTATCCAAAACTTACAAAATGTGGTGTTCATGAGTTTCTGAACTTTGGAGTTTACTCCTCCTATTCGGTAGAGGCCTAAAATGGTGATGCCTAACGGGAAGAAAAAAAAAATCACAAGAAAACGGCTTGAGACACAGCTTCCCAAGTACAGAATGTTAAAAATTCAGACATATGCCTAGAGAGAATCTGAAAGCTATTTATCCAATTCTGCAGCAAATCTACCCTGGAAATACCCACCAGACATATATTTCTCAGAGCAGACACTGAACAGTGATGTGAAAGTCTGACGATTTTCCTAGTAGCAAAGTACATTTGCCTGTTCACTACGATTTGAATATAAAAAAACATTAAAGATGGAAAAGAGATGATCAGTATTACTCATCTATTTCTTCAGTCACGAAGTTCTGAATGTTGAACAGTTTTATGGACATTTCTTCATTTGAAAGGTAAGGAAACAGATTCAAAGAATTCAAGAAATCTACTCCCAAAAACTTCTAAGTGGTAGCGCCAAAATTTGAATCTAAGTTTAAAGAACTCCAAAGCTCAATACAAGTTTGGCTTTAGACAAGTTTTCCTGGAAGTGAAGGAGTCTAACAGGCAACTAGAGTGGGCATCAGGAGGTAGGTCATGATTGGACTAAGAAAAATGCTGAAATTGTGACAGTGACTGAAATCACTGAGGGAAGTAATGCGAGGAAGGCAGGGCTGAAGACAAGGTAGTTAGGAATCTTACTGATCTCCCTAAAGCTTGAAAAAAAATAAAATTAAAGGGTTGCTTACAATAATACAGAGTCTTTCAATAAGAAGTAAACTGAGGCTGTCTTAGGAAATGTCATTAAAAAGAAGTATGTTTATAGGATGATTTTTGGTAAACTGAAGTTCAAAGTATAGCTATTTACATAGCTATATAATTTATATATTCGTATAATTCTTAAAATTAATCTCATGTTAATGACTAAATACATTGTCATTTTCCAAGCAATATCTATCTAAGAATGGACCACCCACCAGTAACGACGCACTTCTCAGGCCATACTGACCTCGTGTTTCCACAGCTTGAATGCATTTTCTCACAAAGTTGAACCCTGCTTCATTTAAGTACACTGAAAGTAAAAGAAAATCACATTGTTTATGCTGAACTTATATTCCCCCTTCAGCTGGCTCTGTTGTTTTATGACTTAATGGCAGTTTTGGTTCGAGTCTGAATTTTTATATGAGGTAGAAGTGGAGGAGAGGGGTTCACATTCATCCGAAGTATTACAACAATGTTTTCCCTTAGGAAAACAAATCTTTCAAAGAAAGTAAATATGTATCATTGATCCCATCCATTTTCCTTAAAATTAGAATATCCCTCACTACAAGTTTTACAGCTGATAGAAGCAAATGCAATAATGATAAATTTTTATTGGGTGTTAATAACTGTATTATGAAGCTATTCACATGAATATTTTTCCATCATTGGATTCTCAAGACAATATTATGAGGTATAGAGTAAGCTTAGCAATCTTAAGATGATTCACTGGGTTGTCAGAAATTTCATTCTCCTTGTTCCAAGCTCCAGGGTCAGGATTCTAACTCAGGCCTCCTGATTCCAAGCCCACTGTCCTTTCTATTATTGCATTTTGAACCATGTTGAAAATAATTTAAAATAAGCTTGGTCAGTCCATTAAAGATCCCAAAGATCCTAAATTATGAAATAACATTTTCGATGATTTATGCAAGATTTTCTCTAAATTTTCTAATTTTTTAAGTTTTTGTGGCAAGATCAAATTAGATTACTTGTTTAAAGAGAAAGGATTTAAGAATACCAAGTTAACACTAGAAAAACTCAATGTACTATAATGAAAATTTTTATCACCTGTGGTAGAGAATGATATCTAATATTCCAAAGTAATAACAAATGAAGATAATTTAAACCAATAAAAAATTAAAACTGGCTTTGATTTAAAGATGGTTAAACATTCATTTAGCTCAACACAAATCCATAGATAAAAAATATATATCGAAAAATTATGCTAAAAAAATCAAGAAAGGGTACTAGCACAAAGAAAAAACTTTGAAGAAATCTTACACATAGAAAACTACTAAAGTTGAATTGACTGAAAGGTTTGAGGAATCTGTGGACCAAAAAAACTAGAGGAACTGACATGGAAGGATGTTTATTATGTATTGTTAGGTGAAAAAAGTAATCTACAGGTCACTATGACCAAATTACTTAAAAATGTAAAACTTTGAAGGTATTTTTCCCTAGGAAAAAATTCTAGAAAGATCCATGCAAACTGCAATTAAAAATAAGAGGACAGAGGTAGAAACTGTCATTTTTTTCCCACTGAACTTTGGAACTACCTATTTTTTAAAAAAGTTTACTTCTTTAGATTTTTTTAAAAAATTAACAGATTAAGAAATCTAAAATTGCCAAATCTAAAACACATATTGCCACCAATAGGTCCCGGCTCATTTATTTCTGTGTCCCCAGTGCCCTAGGTCAAACGAACAGAAAGTGGATGCTCTGGGTGAACTCAACATACAGGAATAAATGGCCATTAAATAATCATCCTATTAGAGCTGACTACCTATATAGGAGAGTGAAACTCCTTTTGAACACCAAGAAGTGATTGCTTGTTTCCAATAACCCAAAAGGCTAACTAAGCATTTTATACATTATACATTCAGAAATTTTGGTGAATAGAGAGGTGAGGAATCAACATAAAGTGAATAAAGAGATGAGGAATAAATTATTAATTTTCATTTTTAACAACAAAAACTGAGCCTCAAAATGAAACCTTAGCACTAAGGTAAAAACAATACACTAGCATTTGTTGCATCAATTAAAACTCCAAGTTCCTGACATTTATAATATTTGGTTCTGAAGATCACATTGTTCAACTTTTCAATAAAAATTATTAAAAGAAAAAAATCATTTTTAAAGAATTTCAATAAAACTTGCCCTTGGCAAAATCAGTGAATTGTGATATATAAAAACAGAATTTAAGTATCCGTTTTGAGAAAAATAAGCAATAACCGGGTTATATCTTGAAGGTATTCTGGGATATTTGGCTGCAATACCCTATCTGTTCTAATAAACCAATATCACAGGCTCACTATGAAGAATAAGATCTTACAGACATACAGTCTGACTGCCAAATCATTCCATGGGTGCTGCTGTCCTGATGTGTCCCATGGATCTTGTGCTTTACATGAGTAAATGAAACACCATCAATCAATTCAGAGATGTGTAAGAATATGTTGGCAAAAACAACCATGCGTTTTTGCTTTGCTTCTTTTGAACAGCTTTTGCTATTGCCTGAAAGAGTACGAGGAGGTTCCATGGCGCAGGGAGGAATACCACCCAGCTTTGTTTGGAGCCAGACAAACCTGGGGTTGGACCTCAGCTCTGGTTTACTGATGTCTGAATGGGAGTGTTCCTATTAACTTTTATGAGTTCTAGTTCTTTCATTTATAAAATGGGGGAAATAACAATACATATGTAAAAGAGTTGTAGTAAGATGAAGACAAATCTACATGAGTGCTTAACAATGGAACAAGCCTAATTAAATGCTAGTTTCCTTCTCCATGTGCCCCTGTCCACATACCACTGTCATATGAACGAAAATAGAATAATAAAAGAAGTCAGTCATGAGTTCTAACCAGATGAAAGAGACAGTAGTTAACTATCTATCCAACTGTCTTAATGGGTATAGTTTTAATTACTTTGTGCCTCAGTTTTCTCTTCTATACAAAAAGGACAACAGCAGTATTTTCTTCATAGGGCTGTTTACAGATAAAGTACGTTAATATTTGCAAAACTCCTAGAATAGTGCCTGGAATATAGTAAGTGCTGCAAAGGTATTGGCAATCATCATCATCATTGGTGAGAGGAGACTGTAAATATCAACATATGTAAATTACATGAACGAGGTATTTTCCAGGCATCGCTGAAGTCACTGGGGCTTGAGGAATTGTTGTTGTTGTTTTTGTTGTTTTTCAAAGAAATATAGATATCACTTATTTTTTAAAAAAATTTGGGCTAGAGCAATGATCTATTTCTTTAAACAAAGACAGATCAGGCATAACCCACTCTGATCCTGTAAATCTAGCTGGCTACTGAAAAGATAAGTTGGATATTAAGAAATGGCCCTGTACTTCGATAAATTATAATGAACAAACACATCCTTTCAGTGGAAATGAACAGATATCAGTAGCCTGGAAATACTATTCATCTATATTTGTTGCTCTTTCCTGAAGGAAGATTATGTTACTCAGCTCCCGCAAAGAAGCTTGGCCATGTGATATGCAGGAGCCAATGACATACAAATAGAAGTGACAAATGTCATTATCCAGCAGACACTAAGAGCCAGTATGTAGCTTGCCATTTTCTTTTTTCCTCTGGCACACGATTAGCAATGAAACAGAGAGAGGCTACTCAGGAGATTGGGTTCCAGAGTAAAGCCACAGTTGACCTGAATGGACACATAGTATGATCAGGAAATGAATCTTTTCTGTGGTAAACCTCTCACATTTGAGGATCATTTGTTATAACATCATAACCCTGTCAGTTCTTATTTAATTATGTATAACTTAAACAGTTTGCTATGGCGAAAAGGACCAAATTAAATAAAGCCAATACCAGAATTAACTTTTCCTTGATTACCTGGAATATATCCATTTTTTTTGTCAATTCATATACAGAGACAACAAAGGGCAGTAGTGTCAGTGCCCAACCATGCTTGCCTTGCAAACTACTATTCCACAGTGCCTTTACTCAAGTACTCAGAGGTGTCTGCTGAGGTCTGAGGAGAAGATGACAATATGGCTTAAATAGGCTATAGCATACTCTGTCTCCCAATGACTGATGTAAAGGCAGTCACAAGGAGTGGTTTTCTGAGGAGTCAGGGGCAAACACAAACTCTGTAAAGGAAAACAAGTGACCTTCCACAGCCATGAGGGGGTTACTGTACTTAGTGACATTGCTAATGAGAATTCAACAAAAATTGGTTCCCTATGGCTTAAAAAAGGAAAACTGGGAACTCCTTAGTGTTCATAAAATGTCACTGGAAAGGGCTCTTACTAAATCAAATCATGCCATTAAAGGCTGATAATTTATCATAATTCTCCTTTAGTAGAGGACAAGGTACTCCTGCTGCAACACTAGAGAATGGAGTACATGCATCCTACACAGTGAGAAATATGGGTTGCTGAATCAGGGCTCAATGCCTGGCACATAGCAGGCAGCCAATAAATGCTTATTGACTGATGACTTGCTAGTTACTGATTTGTACTTGGCTTGCTCGAGAACCCTCTCTGATGGTTTCTACAAGGGTTAGAGATTATCAGCTAACAGGAGCTACTTTTATCAGCTCCTCACCAGGGCCACTACCCCAGCCCTGTATCTCCCTGTTACGGAGAAGACCAGAGGGATACACACAATATGGCCACCAAATTCCCAGAAATCCTATAATATTAATGATACCTGGCCTTCAAGCGTAAAAGCAGAAGACAGGCTAACTCAATGAACTTCATTTATTCAATCAAAAGTTAAGTGTAAACATTTTTTTTCCCCTGGAAACTATTCAGGGCTAAAACTTTTATTGAAAACAAATAAAGTTTCAATAGGCAGTTTGGCAGCACAAAAGCTATTAATTGCAACAGAATTCAAATAGCCATGAGGAAAAAAAAAAAAAAAGAATAGTCTTCCATTCCACTAACAAAGCAAAAGTCCTTGTACATTTATTCACCCAATAATTAAAAACCCAGCATGTCCTTACAGATGTAATCTACTTGGCCTTACAGTACATTCTCAGGGTTGACAAAACAAAGCAACACTTGTCTTTGACTTCTAATTTACTTTTCTAATATGCCATTGCAGATCAAAAGGCCCCTTATCACAGACAACTAATATCAGATTCTATGTGGCTTAAAAGAAACAGGAAAAATAAATGAGTGAATTTATTGGTGTTTGTGATACCCACAGGACCTTTTCTCTTCTCCCTAAAGGATGAGAAGCTAGCTCTCCACAACTGTGGCCCAAACTGTTCCTTCTTCCTGCTCTGCTCATGAAGAGAGCACATGCACTATGAGCCGTTTTCTGGCTCTCAGTGATGGAGACAAAACTATATTTGCTCAAGGGCCTGAGAGAGGATATGGGAAAAGGAGGATATAACCTAGGGATGGCTGAGAACTTACAGAACTAGACTAACTAAACAGTAGCATGAAGCTCAAAAACATTCATGACAGATGTTAATTTCCTAAGATGAGAAGAATGAACTTAAATTTTCTGTTCATTGCTGAGGAGGATACAGCCCCTAGGCATACACAAGGAAAGTCAGTGAAACACACAGTAGCAAAAATTTAGAGTTTTGGGGAAATTACGCAAGTATCTTCTGGTCCAATCTCTTTGATTTGTACCTGAAGACTGAATGTTTAGTAACTTTGTCTTTTTTTTTTTTTTTTTTTAGCAAAAACATCATTTGGAAGAACTTCCCTTTTCTATTCACATTACCTAGAATAAAGTATGTGCACAATGGAACACTGTGGAACGGAATTGCATGAGAGAATGAGAACTAAGAACCTTTTCTCTCATGGTTCTAACTCTCTCCAGACCTACAGTAGAAGGAACAGCTGAAAATCCATCACACCAAACATGTTTGAATGGAGACAAGTCTCAGGGCACCAATGGAGAATGCCAGAGAAACAAAGCCTAAAAATATGACAACTGCTCCTGTATTTGTTAACAACTAGTCTCAAGATGTAAGTCTTAGGACAGAAAGGTGTGTCAAGAAAGATAATTTGTTTCTTTAAAAGGTGGAGTCAAGTGCCAGAACATTGCAGAACTATTGGCCAGGATGTCTTAAGCAAGACATCCCCAATAGCATGGCTTGAGGAACACTTTAGTTCTAACCTTAACTGAATAACATCTGTTTATTATTGATAGACATTGCTATTTTCAAAATAAATTAATTACCAAAGTCTTATAGTTTTAAAAAAAGGATACTGTGACATAGTTTACAACCAGAAAACTTTTTGTGGATTTGATATCCTATAACTGACCGGTACTTTAGATTTTTTACTTGATGCTTTTTTTCATTGAGTCAAAATTTCCTTCTCTAATGAATTACACTAGTCTCATTTATAGCATCTTCACTCTGAAAACAGTGAATAAAACAGTAAACCACAAGTAGGGAGATTTTTTCATGTTAAGCTTGTATAGACAGTCTCATTCCTCTATATTTACGGCATAGTTTTTACTCTTTATTTTATGGCATATGTTCTCTATATTCACAGTATGGCCCTCTTTTAGGACATTAGATAATTTTTACTCTGTTGCTAATATAGAGCTATCAGTGAAAGCAGAAGTGTTATGACTATTTTTAATGGCTGACATTCAAAACAAATTTTTACTTGAGTTTTATATTTCACCAATCTAAGCTTCATTACTATCTTCAGCAGTTCAAAACACAAACACATTCCACTCAAAACTGAGTTTCCAAAAAATAACAAGAGTATTATAAAGAGAACTCGTCTCAATTACCAAGGCTATACAGGAGCACTTCTTAAGGTGGCAAATGAATCTAGGCTAGTACTGGTTTCGAATACCAATCATGAGAGAAGTTATATACTGAAATTCACATAATGCCACTTTGGGGGGGTAGTCAAATGTCAAAAAGAGACACAGAGATTTCAAAAAACAGTTTGATGTGTACTAGTTGGAAATGATATGGAAGGGGCAAACAAAGATATAAGCTGCTCTGAACTCGACATGATGAACTCACATGATTTATTCAAGACTTAAAAAAGAGGTCTGAGAACATCATCACTGGAATATAATTTTGAACTGAAACAAATAAAATTCTGGACATGTCACTAGGAAGAAAACATGACACTGCTCTCAAGTTAATAGGGACATCTGCTTGAATCTGGAATACTGTCAAGTGTTCAGATACATCCTATGAGTCATTAAATCACTAGGAAAGTAGCGGTTGATAAGACACATGATAAAAGAGAAAAGGTATAAAAATTAGAGTCTCAGGAAAAGATTCAAAGTTCCACTAAAATGTTTTAGGCCTTGATGTAGTAGACTATTCACAATTACATGCAAAAAACAAATGAACAAACCCCTAAATTCTAAGGACCTGGAAAGCCACCTGACCAGTCAGAGGGGCAGGTCATCAGGGAAAGGGACTTCAGTGCATGCTGGATTGAGAAATGTTTAGAAAGCCTTGTACATGCAACCTGGCAATACCCAAAAGTCCACCCCAGCTGCAGGGAATTTAGTTCTGTGATCTCCATTAGCCAGTTTTTTTATTGGTGGTAGATGCCATGGCTCTGACTTTCCAACACAGTGGTGGTGATTCTGTTTCAGTGAGGAAATCTGAATCTCCAAGAATGTGTAAAAACAACCAAAAACAAATAATTTTGGATAAGTTGGCTTTATGCATTGTAGTAAAACATTTTGAAATCACTATGCAATTTTGTGTGTAATTTATTTAGAATGTTTAGAATGCTTAAAGGAATATAAATCCCTGCATTTATAAGCCAATTTACTAGATTACAGAAGGTGCCAGGTGTTTAGGAAGATTATATTAGCCAGAATCACAAATTTGACTTATTAGAGTCTTGAATTTGAGAGAAATTTACTAGTTTTGTAATTATAGCTTGATCTAAAGAAGCTTGATTAAATTTGAATTATATTAAATTTATGAAAAAATAAACAAAAATAACTTACTTTTTAAAATTAGTACATTTACAAATAAGATCTGTGTGTTGATTAAAAAGAGGTTTAAAGAATATAGCTTAAGATAAAAATAGAAATAACTTATAACTATTAAGATTTATAACTTCAAGCACTATATATTAATAAAGCAAAGATAATTGTAATATTCCTTTCTATTATCAAAATCATCCATTGGATAATAAAAGTCTACTAGCATTAAGAGTAAAAATAAGAGCAATTACAAGCTGAGCACACATTTCACGGCAGTCCTGCACTAAGTACACTACAGAGAAGAAGAGGAGATGAGTTCTGTCAAAGAAGCTCAGAGAACTGGGTAGGAAACACATCATACCAAAACCAGAATGTGAGAAGTGACACAAACACATGGACTCTAGACAGTAGTGATTTTTCTGAAAAACACACCATTTATAATTATAAATGGTGGCATAGTGATGTTTCAGGTGACTAAGACTACAGGAAAGCTGATTTCCAGAAGAAAGAGTTTTTATGGCATGAAGAAGTATCTTCTCCCTCATCACAGCATAAGAACATTTGATAACTTTCTTATTCTAATTTCCTAGTTATGATAGAAACCCTAGTTCTAGAGGTGCTTTATCAAATATATTGATTGACTTGACCATATCCCTATTCAAAAGCTTTATTCAATACCATATATAGGTTGAGTTATTTTCCAATAAGGATTCATCCCTGAGTAGTACATTTAAATTTGAAAGGACTGTCTTTATAATGGATATAAACAATGAAACCAATTTTAGAAAACACATTTCGAACTCTACTCAAATGCAAATTACACAACAGATTACTTTTTAGGTAATTGTTCAGATTGAACATTCAGTACTTAAAAAATTCTGTTGGTTAATGTTTCTGAGATTAGATATAAGTGGGCAATGAAAGATTTTATACTAATCATTTTCCTTGATTAGCAATAAAGAAAGGAATGCAAGAATAAAAACTGGAAATATTTTTTAAAGTCTTTAATATTAAGGGTATTTTAAATTATGCATTTTCTTTTGCTAAATTTAAAATTAATTACTAAAAAGCACTTCATTCAGTTAAAAATGACAGGCTTTTTTATATACTCAATAATTATGACTTTCAAACGAGTGCTTTTCCAGTTTTGATCTTTACTGCATTCTAACTTGTATTGTAGTAGCAATTTAAAAATCATTAAAAAGGTTATTAAATGTTTTAAAAATAAATTCAGACATCATGAGAGAAATTCAATTGAGTTAAATAAAACTTGAAATTGCTTTAAAAGATACACACATAATCTTAGAAAAATATTCAAACTAGTTTTAAATGTTAAATAATCTAATGACATATAAAGTACACATGAAAATATACTAAAATAACAAGAGCAAAAGGTAGCAAGAAAATGGCAGATAATTAAAGAGGATCGAGTATATGAGGAAAACAAAATGTTTTTAATAAGAATGGTTTGATACTAAGAATTCAGTAATAATACAGTAACATGTGTGTTCCTATATATCCCATGTGTTATTACAATGTCCTTATACTTCACAGTCTTGGGCACAATCTCCTAAAACCAGCACAAAGTATTCAATATTCAGGTCTTCAGTCTTGTAAACTGGAGTAGGGAAAATAAAGAAGACCTCTCTTGCTATTTAAAAAAAAACAAAAATTCCAATCTAAATATCAAATGCCTCAAATCTCTTTCTCTAATAAAGCAAGGTATGTACCTATAAGTAAATACCAAAGAAATAAAATTTTATTTTGGTTATTATAACACCAGTAATTGGTAATATGAGAAATTTCTTTGAGTGAAAATTTCAAATTTGCTGCACCGTCCGATCAGTGGTATGTTATTATTTTCTCAAAGTTAACTCTTGATATTGTATAATACCTTTGTGATAAAAACTGTGTGATAAAATTTCAATTATTAAAATGACTTACTTTCTTCTTTCTTGCTCATAATGGCAGGCAGGGTGTAAATCTAAAGAACAAGGGAAATCAAGCAGTTACTTGCAGTTAATGACCCAGTAGAGGAGATTCCCAGGGTGATACTGGTTCAGGAATACACAAAGGGAGTGTCTTGATTTTAAGGTCCTACAACTGCTGCATTCACAGGGCCATCTCCCCATCCCCACCCTGTAACCAACCTGGCCTCCCTCCTTTCCATCCCTGGCTGTCCTGCCCTGGGCAGAATTCTACTCCTTTCCACCATTTACACATCTCATTCTATTCCCCAATGTGATGCATAATATCCCTTCTTCAAGAAGTATCTCATGATAGATTTCCCCTCATTGCTCCTATTCAAATCATCTGTTTCATGTTTTGTTCTCCATGTATCCTAACTTGTAGTTGATGAGCGATCTCACTGTTTTCTAATTTGCTCTAGCCCAGGGCTTGCCTCTCAACTATTAGTGGTGAAGGATATAGTTGTTTTATTAATTTCTTAATCTGTCATTGACTGCTAACTTCTGTAAATTATAATAAAATTTAAAAAATCATAAATATAATAAAGAATAGATACAGAGTCCGAATTTCTTATTAAGTTTGACAGATGTAAAATGACTTCTTCAAATTGCTATAAAGTTTTCCAGATGCTTAACCATAATTTCTGCACTCATTGTGGACTGGTAACAGTGTGAGGGATGGTATCTAAGTCTGGGGACCATACTTCGTACAGCTCTGCTGTTACACAGGTACGTTGCACAAGGTTGTCCCCAGGTTATTTGGCAGCTAAATAGTTCATTCCCAAGGGAGAGAATGAGACCTCCTATTTGCTCTGTGTGCTCATCTCTCTAACCATTTAGTGCTGTGTTCTTCATAAAGAAAACAGACAGTGATCAATGATATTATTCCTTTTTACATAAACCTCCCTAATTATCATGCCAACATCAAAATAAATATTAGAAAAATCATTAACTGAATAACATAACTCATTCAGTGCAGCCAAATTAATAAGTAATTTTTTAAAAAAGTAATTGTAGGATTTTAAATTAGTCCTGAAAGTCCTCCTGAGAAACAAATCAGAAACTTGGTGTTATGTGACAGTAAGACATTAGGAAAATAGTAAGAGTCTCTACTCTTCTGATTTGCTATTTTAATATTTTCAAATACACTATATATAAAAAACTTCAGATGTACTTTGTAATTATTAGAATAAAACCTAAATTATAGAATGTTGTATTCTTACTGGTTCTTTCCCATCCATGGCTTCGAGCCAGAGTTTCCGATTAGCTTCTGAGAAGGCCTGCAATGTGATGATCCCATGCCTATTAAAAACAAATGTTATATATTCAATTTATTCTTGTGACGTCTTTACACATTTATAATTTTAAAAATTCTTATTTAACTATAAATGTAAAATTTGAAAAAAATCAGAAAAGAGGAAAAAGCTAAGGGAAAAGGAAACAAAAAAATGAAAAGAGAATTGCTTTATAGGTATCTCTTAGAAAAATCACTGTAGACACGCGCTCATAAATTTTAACAGGTATTAGAATTATTAAGTGTTCTAGGTATAAGACTATCTGAACTAGGCTAGTTTCAAACTATTTTCCATGAAATGATCCAAAAAAAAAAAAAAAAGAAAGAAAATGACAGTCCCATTCACCCAAATTCAAAACCACTTAAACATTTTACAATATGAGAATAATTAAGATTATGACTCGTGTGGTGCAATCTAATCACTGAAAATAGTTACAATGAGTATACAGCAATATAAAAGCCTCATACCATAACTAGTTATTAAGACTAAAACCAAAGTGTCTATTTACACCATAATTCCAATATTAAAACTACTTTAAAAACAATTGTGTCCAATGCACCCCATTCTGAAATAGTTACTTGAGGATGTACTTGGAGAGAGAAACAGTGAGCAAAGGGAGCGAGGAAACCAGTAATAGAGAGAAAAATACATGAAATCTCAAAAGAGTGAAATTAACCTAGTTAACTGTGCGGACTGTTCAAAAAATAACTTAAAACAGAAAATTAGGAGAGGTACATTGAGAAGGAAATTTCATTAAAATATGTATGTTTAAAAATCTGGACTGACTTAAAACTGTGATAAAGGCATGTATCTTTTCTGTAAACAGGAAAACAGATCATTAAACTGGTAGGAAAAGGAAAAACATAAAGATCAAGATAATTTTATCATCTTCACGAATTTAACTCAGTATAACACCATATACTAATTATAAAATAGCAATGATCAATATGTTTGTTGTCTGTTTATTATGTGACAGGCATACTGTGTGTTACAAGTATGTTGCCTTTGTTATCTCATCTAATCCTCATAGCAACCCTTTGAGGTGGGTACTTATTATCCTTATTTTACAAATAAGGCAACTAAAGCAGAGTTTAATAATGTACCTCAATCATATATAACCAGAAAAGGCTAAGATAAAGAAAAATCACTCACGTGTTGGTGTTTGCCTACATAGAAAATCTAGATGGTTCTACCACAAAACTATTAAAGCCAATAAAAAGTTCAAAAACTATGTTGGGTGTAGGTTAATATATAAAAAAAATTAATAATCTTTCTATACAGTTGTCTCAGCTGCTTAGAATAAAACAGTTTCTACTAATGAAAAGAATTCTATTCAGAATTACAATAAAAAGAAAATACCCAAGGATAAAAAAGATATCTAAAAATATATATATATAAATTTTCAAGGAGAGGTAAGTCACCATTGATCAACAACTTTAATGTAACTCCAGTCAAAAATCCCAAAGGACTGTTTTGGAGAAAAGAGAAACTTAATATGCAGATCTATAACATGTAAGAATACAGGGCCAAAATAGGTAACATAACTTTAAAGAAGCTTATATAAGAATGGGAGGAGGGGGAGAGGGGACAGGGAGACTTGCCCACTAGATACTTAAAGCTATATACTATATGTAAGCTATAGTATATATCACGTATAAAGGTATATATATTATGTCATAGTATTGTGTGTGTGTATGTGTGTGTGTGTGTATAGTGCCCACAAAGCTAGAGTATTCAGAAAATTTGTAGTAATGGGGTAGTGGGGTGGGGAATAGATCATGGAATAGAACAGAAATCAAGAAGCATGCTCATTCTTATCTTATTTCTATTCTGCTTATATTAATACAAGAAAGGAGTAAAGCTAAATATTCCCACTAGATTATAAATTTGTGTGTACAACATTTCTCTCTCCCCCAACATCCTGTGGCTAAGAATGTCCAGAACAGTGCTTTGCACAGAGTAGACACTAAATGTCACTGGCTGAAGGAAGCTTATGGCACTCACAGGTGTGTCATATTACTCCTTGGGAGCAAAGCCACCAGGCTTCATAAGTCTACAAACAGGCTGACCCAGAAACTGTGAACAATGTCATCAGACTCCTTCAGTGGATGGGGACCCCAAGCCCACGACATGTATTTTCCTCTAATGCAGTCATTCATATTGATTTTCCAGATTCTTCTTTGAGTGATGTTACTTTTACTAGCATTCTGTGTTTGGTTTACTTTTTCGAAAGCATCGTATAATATATATTTGTTGAATGTATATGTGAAAGAATGAAATAAACGTATACTGTTTTCAAAAAGAGATCGAAAAACAAGCCCTTGTATGTTGTTCATATTTAAATCTAAACATAAAAATAAGTAAATGTAAAGTAAAAAGAAAAGGTCAAACCTTTCAACTACTTCTATGTCAAAGCAGAATCGTTTGTCAATTGAATCAGTCTTTCGCCGGATACAAGATTTTAATTTAAACATTTCTGGTGAGCTAGTAACAAGACCATTCTGAAACAAGAAGGGGAATATTGATACAATGACAAGGTAAATTGAAAAAATATTAAATACGCCATCTAAAGTTGCTGCACTGAAATGTAAACTTAGAGTACAGGTTATATAAAAAGGTCTTAATCACACCCTGTCTTATAAAGACTTTCTGCCTAATGTTGACTGCCCAATTATAATGTACTCAACTGCTTGTCGATAAATTAATTGCATTTACATGCTTTATCCAAAGAATTCTGTGATACGCCTAATACCCTTCAACATATTTACTTTTAATGTTAACTTACACTATGATGTACATGTCTTAGGACTTTGGATTTAGAAAAGTTGTGAAATGTCAGAGTTACAGTAATATCAGAATTAGATATCCAGAATGTTTGTCAGGATACAACACTTGCTCTGAATCGAAATTCCCTAGATTGCTAAAAGATTACTATTGTGTGTATGTCTTGTTGTTAGCGCCTCATAGTTTTAAATGATAGCTGACTCAAAGTCTCAAGAGAGCTACTAAAATAAACTTCTAGTATATACCTGCTATGATGTTATTGCTATCAAACATACCATGTGATTGCTTTGCTGGTAATCAACTGCTACTCTGCTACTAAAACTAAAACTCTTTGGACAGGATTTCACATAAGCTCAATAAATAAGAATCTTCTTCTCTACCTGAGATGTCAATCAATTTGAAGGGAATTTTTACCTAATGTCTGATTTATTGTCTATAATTGCAAATCTGATAGATTTATTAACAGGACTTTGGCTTGGTCTGCTTGTTATAAGTTCACTGACTGTCACATTAAGTTGACTTTCTGGCAATCTCTTTCCTTATGGAACTTTTAGAATAGAAACTAGGCATAATTAAAGCATTTAATGACTTCTCATGATAATGGCAATCTAAGGTTTCTTTTTCTTTGGCATGTTCTCCTTTATTTTATGTCTCTCCTTTTGAATTATTAGACTCTAAGGAATGCCCAAGCACAATAAGTTTCAATTAATGTATTTTGAGTATGCGTCTAAGTTAGATTAACATTTAAATGCTGTGACTTATACCACAAATTAACTTGGGCGAGTCCCTTACTTTCTACCATCTTGATTTTCTAATCTGTTTAAAGATTATTTAGTCCGGCCTTATTTTAAGTACACTATGTTCCGTATTGTTCGCTAGCCATGCGACACAATCAGTGACCAATTTACTTTTGGGGTAAATGAGCACTGATAGATTTCTTCTGAAACTTTGTTGGCCAGCATTTGAGTAAACAGTGAAGATGATGAAAAGGTTTGCAAAGGCAAAAGCAGCCTCCCACAGAGGCCACCTAGGGGAAAAATGCACAATCCTTAGGCCTGGTGCAGCCACTGATAGTCCCTACTGGGCTACGGGGCAAGCAACAGCACAGACAGTAAGAGATGACACCTCAGTAGTCTACTTAAAAATCCCTACATTTAATTTAACTGCTTATAAACATTCCATGGCCAAGGTAAAGGAAAATCCTGGCTACTCTTTTTAAGTCATCGAGGTCAATTAAGTGAGAAAAACTTTTTGACTTTTTGATTTTTTTAAATTGTGTACATGTTTGTCAGAAAAGCAAGCACATGTGATTTTTTTTTGTTTTACTTCCATTTCTTTATCTTTCTTTCTATTATGGTGACATTAACAAAATTCAAAAAGTTTCAAGTGTACAATTCAACAGTAAGTCATATATATAGAATTGTGTGCTACTTTCATTTCTTTAATGAGCTCAGTTAAAAACAAAAAACAAAAACTCACCATTTTCCCACTGGATTTCATTTCTGAAACACTCATGGTGAATGTTTTACTTCCTTTATCATATGTACAATAATGTTTAATCCATGTAAAACCAAGTGGTCCTAATGTAAGGAAAGAAACAGTACAATTAACAAATGATTTCGTATCTAAGTTCGTACAGGTTCTGATCCTATGATACACAATTGAGTATTTCCATAGACCATATAAATTTTGGAACTTTTACTGTGAATGAGAAAAGCCAGTATGGTAGTGTATCTTGAACTCAAACAATTTGGTTTTCTTTGCAGCTCTGACACTATAAAGTCTGAAGGATCCCTACACTTAGTTCAACCTTATAAACATTCCATGGCCAAGGTAAGAGGTACTTTTGATCTGAACTTCAGTTATTTCCTCAGTAAAAGTAGTATCCTAATATCTCATAGAAGTAGGAAGAATAAGAAGTTAACAGTCTGAGTTATTGTAACTGGTCTCCTTGCCCTCCATTCTTGAAACTGCCAGAGATACCCTGCTAAAAATTTAGCCAGCTCATTTCACCCCTTTGTGCAAATCCCCCCAGCGGTTTCTCACATCACTCCAGATAAAACCGAAAGTGCCTATTACTATCCACAAGGCCCCACCTACTCTGGTCTCTCATTATCAGTCTCACCTCACATCTTATCACCTTTTGCCTCATATACTCTGCTGTAGCTACCCTGGCCCCTTTGCTGACCCTTGGACATAGTGAATGCACTTCTACCCAAGGGCATTTGCACTTGCTGTTCCTCCAGCCTGAACTATTATTCCTTCAGATATCTGCATGATTTGCTCTGTCACTTCCTGAATTCAGGCCTTTTCCTAAACGTCACCTTTTTAATATTGCCTTTCCTGTTGAGATATCTTACAACTCAACACTTTGTCTTAATACTTCTCATCTTTCTTGCTTTACTTTCTTTTAGCAGTTATCACTCTCTAAAATAAGATAAATGTTACTAATTTATCCTATTTATTGTCTGTCTGTCACTAGACTCTAAGGTTCTAAGAGCAGGAAAGTATGACGTTCTGCCGACTGGTATATTCTTAATCCTTAGAACAGGGCCAGACATATAGCTGTCACTCAATACATAATTGACAAAAAAAGAAGGAATGAATTTTCTCTAAGACTTTATTGACCTTGGAGTTATTTCCTTTTATCACTAATCTGAAAAAAAATGTGAATTCAAGTAACTCTCCTTAAAATGAAATTAATTTTCACTATTTATATTGAAAGTTATATAAGTATAATGCTCACTTTCTTTTTTTCCCATAAATACTGTGCAACACTTTCCTAGAGCACACCACATTATTGTTTTATATTCTCCAGAAACTGGATGCTACTGCTTCACCAGGACGTAGGAATGCATCGTGGGTTCAATTTTTTCATGACCAAGGCGGGAGACCTTCAGTTTTCCCACAGGGAAGCCAATTATCCTGCATCCAAATGTCATAGAGGCTGAGTGGGTTTTAAAAGGAGTTTGTTTTCTATATAGCTTATCCATCTAGGTCCCATCTTGCTTGACACCTGGATTTTTCTAGCAACAATTATGTACAATATTATTGCTGCCTTGGTTTCATAACCATATATTTAAAAACAAGAAATGGAAGTGTAAAAGTGCACCTCTTCATAAGTGTTTCATGAGCCATTGCAATTTTTTTTCTGTACATTTGGTGTCATGGTTTTAATACTTAGACGACTCCAGGTTTTAAAATTACAGGGCACAGCTATACACTTTGTAATCACAAAAGATTATTGCAATTAACTTTAGTTCTGTTTTGGAAACATGTTATACTATAATACTTAACAGTACTTGGTAATTCTGCTACACGTGGTGTAAAATACTTAAAGGCTTAGAGCTGATTAGCGGAAAGTGGCTGGATGAAAATCCTCATAGCAACTTTACTACTTAGGAATTTATGATGCAATATTAGCCATATTTTAAAGAAAGCTGCTGCAATGCTCTGATGACATTTTAGACCCAAGTTGTTTTTTCCTGCCTTCATCATAAGTTCAGAACCTCAAGCATTTAATCTTCAAGTCTGCAGCACACAGATGCTGCTTTCTTTAAAGTGTGCCTGGAACTAGGCCAGGACAGATGTTCTTAGACTAGCAATTCTGAAGTCCCTAAAAAAAGTCTGGGAAAATTAAAATTTATTATGCTCTTAAGTTGCAAAATAAAACAAATTTAATCATCTTAACCCAGTAATCATCTGAGGTCGTTGAGATGTTTGCAGGATGGGAGGAAATTAACATTCACTGAATACCTACTAAGTGCCAAATTTTTACCTAAGAAGTCTTTAAGTCAGACATTATAAATATCATTTTACATATAATAAAGCCTAAGAGCTGCAAATGGTACAAATTTCTTCACTAAGTAAGGCATATGACTGGAGTTCTTTTCAGAGGAATATTTCTTAAGAGCTGTTTTAAGAATTAAATGAGATAAATATAAATTACAGAGTAGTAAGGGCTCATGGTAAGCATAGTACTATGCACCACTACTGATAATAGAGACATTTTGCATATATTATCTCTAATTCTTGCAATATTATTATAAGATACACATAAATACCCTTATTTTATAAAGGAGGAGACAGAGCTCACTTTGTCTGCCCAGAATCACCGAGTTAATAAGTGGAAAGCAAGAAATTCCAACATAGTTCTCACTTTGGAACCCATGCTATTCCTGGTTAAACTGAAGTCTATGAGAATGCGATCTAATGTATGTCTAGAGGTGGATAACATAAAAACCACATCTCTAAATAAGGTGGAGCTCTGTGTCCAAACTGCAATGATCTACTACTGCCCCATCACATCTATCTCTATTTATCACTCAATTTACAGCTCTGATATTTACTATTGATCACTGGTTGCTAACTGTATGAGTCTTGTGCCTTCCACTATAGAATAAACACCCTGAAGCCATATTCTTTATCTCATTTTCTGTTCCCCACAGAACTTAATCACTCAGTGATAGCAACAGTGCAATCGATATGTCTTCATGGACTGGGTAACTTTTTATATTATAAATGCTTTCAAAAATTGCAAGTGGAAAGGGGCTTTAAATATTTGTCCCTCAAATAATTCCAAAAGCATATAAATCCATTCGTTTTTCTTTTTCAATTCCTGGGGAAAGGGAAGGGGGAATGACAGTGAATGGAGAAAGAAAGGAGACAGGGATTAATTACACTGGGGCACGAGAGCACTTTTGAAGGTGATGAATATGTTCCACATGTTGATTGTGGTGATGGTGTCACAGGTGCATACATGTGGCAAAACTTCTAAAATTGTACATTTTAAACATGTGCAACTTATTATATGTCAATTGTACTTCACTAAAGCTGTAAAAATAATGCAGGCAGACAGAGAAAATCGAGATGGAAAGTGTCTTGAGAACAGAAAGACAACAGCAAAAAAGAGGATGCTAAAAGGAGAGTGAGCATCTGACTGTGAGAGCCTCAAACGCCACATACTGCTAAAAAGCCATCACAGCAGGGGCATTAGAGTTATCATTCCAAAGTCTGAAAACAGACTGGTCAACGTAGTTATGAGAAAGAAAATCCCAGAACCCCGACCTCCTGAGCCAGCAGTCCTCTACGATCTAGTCCATGCAGTAGCAAATGTCTGCCTAGTCTGTTAGACCAAATCATTATTTGCTTGTATATGACCAACCAACAAGTGATCATCACCCTACACATGTCAAATATAAAATGAGTTGACAGTTTAGTGATTATGTTGCACTATGTCTGAAATCTCTAGTTTCCCCATCTCAAACTCATTAACTATGATATCTTACTAAACAAAACAACTTCATTCACCTATTGTCTACTGACAGGGAAACTTCATAGTAGTGCTATTCCATGTGGTTTGCGAGTCTCATTAAGTAAAGAAAATACAGAAAGTGAGAATAAGCATTTCAAAACTTTTATACCAAATTGACATTGCTGCAAAATCCAAGCACATGTTTTTGTTTTTTGTTTTTTGTTTTTTGTTTTTTTTTTTAATTTCTTTTTTTTTACAAACACACAGGTCTGTGATGGATTGGAAATAAAAACAATTGTTCCTTCACCACAGAGACTATGAGAATGATGCTATAGGGCATATCTGATTTGAATTAGAGAGTTAATTTAGTCCAACAGGTTCCACTTAATGATATCTATCATGCAGAAAGGACTCGAGTTATACAAATTTGAATGGCTTTTTATTAATTTTTGTGAAAAAGATTTCTTAGTGTGAGGCAATTATAAGAGTGCTCTATTGGGCCTGATGCTCATTTCCCAATCTCAGGAAATAAAGGGTGCCAATCTGACATTACATAATTGCCAATTTTACTCCTAAAAATTGACAAGACACAAAATTCAATGAAATGATGCTGCTGGAGGAGAAAACTATTATCATAGTCACCAGGATGATTCATTCTGATAAACGCTTTGATTTCAATTTTCCATCAAACTTTAAATTGAGATTAGATCTCACAATTAAATTCTAAAACTTATGTTACTGTATCATCAGCAAAAGATCGTAAGTTCCAAGTTCAACAATATACCAACTTTAGAGATCCTGATGATGAAATGTGAAAATACTTCATCACTCTGGTGGTGATGATGACAGAGCAGATTAAATCTGATAAAGATGTAAGGGATTTCATTCTTCCTACTTGAAGGAAAAAGCACTAACCACATCACATCTCACGAAAACAGAATGTTAACCATAAGAGACATTAAGTTATGTCTTTTTAACTCACGTTTTTCCTGGACATAAAGATAGCCTTCCATTGTCCACTGGCTGGGTGGTCTGTAATCTTGGTTGGCAGATTTCATCCTTTGCATCAACCGCTCTACCTCTTGTCGAGTACTTTCAAAATTATTCCTTGTCTTAAGTAAACAGAAATAACAATTTCATTCGTTCTTTCCTACCAGTTTTAGAGAACCTCCAGCCCAAAGTTTCAAAACTGCAAATTGCGCAAAGGAGAACCTTGATTCTTTCAGCACTACTCATCCATGTCCGTGATCCTCTATGTTGAGTCCTATGGCTGATATCGAATGACTTTGGGGAAACTTTCCTACATGATCTTTTGCATGTTTCTCTTTGAATCTGTGTGTTTCTTCCTATTTCCCACTCTAACATTATTACTTAGCATCTGAAAATATGTAATATTTATTAAATAGAATTTTATAATCACTAATATCTAAGGAAAAAAAGCGGATACATAGTAACTTATATTTCCTTTGGGGAATGAAAACAAATTAAATTCACATACTTTTGATACATGTGGCACTTGATAAAAAGAGTTCATCATTTTTATTCCAAACACTTTTAAAGAAATATCACTTAGCTTGGTTTCCAGAAATCCTAATACAGTTCACGAGGTCAGTATATTAATTAACTCATAGAAAATAAATAGGTTTCCAAGTTCTAACTTCCGTTGTAAGAACTAGTTTGCTCACATTACAGCAAGTTTACTTAAGATGTAAAAAGCATCTTTTCTCTATGAATACCTCTTTCGCATTCAAGCCACATTATCTCAACAATACACATTTGAAAACATAAAAATCATCACCACCTAACTCTAAGATTTTGTTATGGCCCATAATAAAAGAATTGAATTTTCTTAATTGTCATTTTTGCTACTATTCTCTTTTCAATGTAGGGATCAGAATTTTTTCCTATTCCTGTTCTCAAATCCCAGGAATCTTAATATGATCACATTCAATATAAAAATAAATCATAAAAATACTTTAGCTTTTATAATTTTCCCCTTTAATATTTATTGAAAAAGCCCAAATGCATTCCATATTGAAAAACAATGGAATGAATTACATGTGAAATCGATTCTGCTATAAAATCTAGGTTAAATAAAAAGCTAAAGCTCAAAACACAAGGAGAATAAATCCAATGACATATTTCTCATGGGATATTGCAACTTCCTAGCTCTACTGATTAGACATCTCCACAATGGCAAAAATCAAATTCGCAGTGAAAGCCAAGCTTTTTATCGAAAATTAAGTGAGAGCTTTCCAAGTTATTTTGGCTACAGAGTACTACACGGGGTTTCAGAAATAACTTCATTTATACAAAACTTTGAACAATAAGAACTTTATTATTTATCAAGTTTGATAATATAGAAATACATTGGCTTTTTTTTGTTTTTTAATGTCAGTGGTGTTCAGCATCTGCAAATCAGAATTTGTATAACTATTTAATCAGATACCAAACGGAAAGATAAGACAACTTTACAAAATAAGCACTTGCAGAAATAGATAGGATATTTGTAAATAATTCTCATTTAAGCTTTAAAACAGTTATTTTTAATATCCAAACCATGTTTAATTTGAAAATATCTGAAAATAATATCAGATATATACAATTTCACATAGGGATGGGACTTTAGAGTGCTAAAGTACAACCTTCATTTCACAAAAATAGAAATGCTGCCCTCTCAGAAAATAAAACTTGCTTAAGTTCACCCAGTGAAGTAATGAGAAAATTGAATAAAAGGCAAAAGTTTCCAAACTTCCAGGTGCCTACAGCTCAGTATTATTTAATTTTATGAAATTTTCTAGTGCACTTGTTTTTAAACATTAATATTAGCTCTTTCCTGGTGTATTTTCAACAGCAGCTAGAAAACAAAAACAAATAAATTTATAATGTAGCTTTTCTAAATTAGTGAGGTTTTATTATACTTAGATAAGTTTGGAAAGACTCCAAGGTCTGGCTTGGTAAAAACTTAGTTGTGCTATGATCATCACTAAGGAGATGCAGTGAGAACAGGTACAGTCTTACATTCTGCAAGTTGAACTGCAGCTGTTGTTTATATGGTGCAAATTCCTGGGCGAGTTCATATCCCTCATGGTAAAATGTAAACAGACCCTGAAGGAATGACAAAAGCTGCAAAAATAAAGAGATAAAAAAAAAAGAAGCCATGAAAACGTGTTTTTAAAAAATGACCATCAAATATAACAAAGTGGGGCAATTATATTTCATTCTAATGCCTCAGCTAATACGATTTCAATCTCTTTGACAAAGCAGGGACTAAAATTATGGATGTGAAGCAGAAGTCACAAAAGCTAATTTTCACTTCCTTTTTCAGTAGACAGTGATTTGATTTTTGAGTCTTGTCATGGACAGCTGTCATGTTAGCTACTTTAACATTCAAACACATTGCAGAAATATCCAGGAGAGATCATTAATGGGGAGAAAGACCAAAGGAACATAGGATCTACTCTCGAAAAAATTCTAACCGAAACAGGGAGATATAACCTGTGAAGTGAGAAAGACTAAACCAGTAAATTAGAGATAAAACGAGCCAATGGAAGGAATTAGGATTTGTCTAGATGAAATTAAGAAAAATATCACTAGGTGGCAGTACTGATTTGAGTATTTGACATAACATTTTGACAAGGAGTGGGAATAATTCAAAATTGAAGAGTTGAGCAAAAACATGGAGACAGATATAGATCTTTCATAAGAGTTAAAGTAAAACATTCTTTAGAAAACCACAATTTCTATATTCCTAGCCGAATACCAAATTCATGTGTGCTTATTTATAATGTTCTGATTCATCCAATAAGAGTGGCTCTCCATGGAGCTACACACACAGTTGTTGATATAAAATAAGTTATAACTGAAAATTTGTTTAAACTTTTTCATTTAATTCACTGGGATTTTACTCTACAGTCTTGTCCACCAATTCACTCTCTTCCTCAACCTCTTCCAACAATAAAGGTAAAAAATATTTTTGAAAACTGGTAATGGTTTTTTGATTCAAATAGCATAATATGTCTGTAAACTATTATTTTAAATTAAGGAAGAAACATAATTTGAAATCATTTTTACATGTAAATAACATCCAGGCACTACTTCTGTCTGGGGAAGCAAGGGGAGTGAGGTAAGCATCAATTGCTATGTGCATTATGATTTCCAACAAACAAGTGCTTGTTCTATCTGAAAATAATAACCTAAGGTTTTCTTCCAATATAATGTTCATTTCAGAAAGCATATACTTTCAAATTGGTTTTGTTATATTTTAAAAACTTTCCTTTTCTTGTTTAACAGTTCCTGACAATGTGTCAGAATGCATCACTGGTCAATTTTAGAATTTTACTGTCAACTTTACATCAACTGAAAATTATCAAAACTAGTCAATAATCCTTTATTAAAATGATGCTATGATATATTTGTCGAATTGCCAATAATTTCAAATATATAATCTGCATATACTGGGGCCCAATTAAAAAGAACTGTGGTTTAAAATGGGGTTAGAAATACCTTTAATTAGCTGGGGCTTGGATAGGTTTAGAAGTTTTCAGAGACAAAATAAGAAAATACTTTTGAAGTATAAAGAGAACACTAGTGTTCTAAATATCCAAATAATTGTTAAGAAGTTGTTAAAAGGAGTACTGTTTCATGTTTAATGTCCATAATCAGTCTAAAATTAAACTGTCTTATGAATTGGATGCCACACAAGGAACATGCTATTCTAATATCATCCTAAGTATAAAAAAATTCAGTTAAACTTATAAAAAAAGATACTTTAAGATATCTGTAATTATAGAATACCCAATTCCCTGAGGTCCATAATTCCACTGGCATCTTCTAACAGAATTCAGATGCACTAAGTAGCAGATAAATGTTTTAACTTCACAATTATGCAGGGCACCCACTAGGGAATGTACGATTCCTTGGAAGGTACAGAAAAATACATACGAAGAACCCACAACTTTTCCTTTTGTCCCACATCTATTTTGGAAGCAGGTTTGGGGAAAGTTTTATAATAAAGACAACATGCATGAAATAACTGCCTCTAGATGGTAGCAAAGTTAAACGTTTCTTAAGTTTGAATACATTCTGGTTCATTTCATTCACAACAAATTCCATGATGCTAAGTTAAGGGAACTTAATAAGACAGCCTGAATCTTGAAGAATTGCATTTCTCACGTGTCATTTTCTTTGTTCAGTCTGCCTGAGTGTGTGGATCATTGTGGTAAAAAACTATTGTGTCTCGACTTAAACTAATCCTGCCTTTAATATAATAACGACTACAAACTACTAGAGAGACAGATTAGGTTTTAATATTAAGAAAGTCAGTCACTTTTATCATCAGGAAAAAAAATCATATAGCACTTTATTATTATCAAAGGTTTTAGAATCAAATTACGTTCTGTCACTCCAATAACCTGACCAACTGTGAAAATTAATACTGCATTTACAGGTAAGTAATCATTTCCAGAACCCATCACAAGTCAGCACAGGTTCAAATGTTCATAATTTCCCAGTCCATTCATAAGTCAGCAGGTTTCAAATCTTAAGGGCTCACAGTTACCAGTGATACTGTGACTGGCAGAGAAAAGTGAGAAAAAGGGTTGGGCTAGCATGGATGTGAGGGAAAGAACTCCAAAGCAATTGATGCAGTGATTCCAGATGACTGTTGCCTAAACGAAGCAGAACAACTGGAATGAAAAGGCTCTTAAGAAAATCCTAATGAATCTGCTAAAAAAAACTACTAAAACTAATAAACAAGTTCAGAAACAGTGCAGGACACAAAATCAATATACAAAAATCAATTATATTTCTATACCTTGTAATGAACAATCTGAAAATGAAATTGAAAAACTATTCAATTTACAATAGCTTCAAGAAAATAAAATACTTAGGAATACATTCTTTAAAAAGAAGTACAAAATTAATAGTTTGAAAAGTACGAAACATTGTTGAAAGAAATTAAAGAAGGTCGAAATAAAAGGAAAATATTTCACATTCATAGATTGGAAAGACTTAATATTGTTAAGATAGCAATATTCCCCAAGCTGATGTGCACACCAGAGACCCAGTTGATTTCTTTGTAATAATCGACAAGCTAATTCTAACATTCATATGGAATTGAATTCTGAAACAAACATAAACCAGTAAAAATAAGCTCAAAAAACAAAGTAGTTGACTCACATGCCTCAATTTCAAAACTTAATACAAAGCAATGGTAATCGACACAGTGTGATACTAGCATAATGATAGTTTTATAAATCAGTGAAAGATAATTGAGAGTCTAAGAATAAACCCACACACCTATGGTCAACTTATTTTCAACAAGGGTACCAAGACCGTACAATGAGTAAAGAAGAGTCTTTTCAACAAATGGATTCTTTGAGCCCTGGATAGCACATGCAAAAGAATAAAGTTGGATCCCCTACTTCACACCATAGATAAAAATTAACTAAAAATGGGTGAATTGTTTGATATGTGAAATACATTCCAATAAGGCTATTTTTAAATAAAATAAACAAACACTTCCCATACACAGAACACCATGATACCCTAAAAGAAATCAAAAGCAAGGTGGCAATTTTCACACTGTACACGTGTTGGACCTGTGAGCTAAAACCTGTAATCTTTGCTATTCCTTACTTGGAAGAAACTTAGTGAGATATCTTAGAGAACAGCCTCAAAATGACTATGAAATGCTTTAAGTCTAATGCATAAGTGCTGAGAGGAGTTTACTGAGTAGAAATGAGTGGGCATCAAAATCTAACCAAATAAGGGAGAAAACTGAAGATAAAGGAGAGCCAAGGATAGAAAGAGGTTGATCAACTGTAGCCTGGGCACATGTCTAAAATAGGATGACCAAAAAAAAAAGGAAGGAAGAACAAATAAATTAACAGATTCGATTAATTTTTAAAAAGCCAAAACTTTTTGAAAGTCGTGTCTGTATAATATTGCCTCAGCAGTGAAGAATCACTGGAGTTCCTGAAGGCGTTATTTCTAAGCGTTCAAAAGGATGGAATTTCAGATAAATTCTAGGAAGTAAACTCCAGTGGTAAAGGAAGACAGCAATTAAGAATAAAGGTCAGCCTATCTTCTCAGCTGGACAGGAATGAGGATGAGAGTATCGCCAGCAAGGTGATTAAAGTCCAGCAGAAGCCACCTTGAGACCAGGCCTTTCCAAGACTGATTTCTAAAATGAAGTTCAAGATGAATCAGCCAAATGAACAAAATGTATTTTTCTTACTTTTCCAAAATTTTTTCACTATCTAACTACTATTACAAATTTCAGATTTTTAATAAAAGTATCTAGAACTGAATAAAAGAGTCAATATGGATTTTAAGGCCTATGACCTAAAGAGAGCTTTATTATTTAATTTTAAAAGAATGATTGCACTTAGGTTTTCAGATAGAAATTTAACCTTTAGTCCTAGAGTTTATAAAAAACTGACACTGTCTTATCTGCTTACTTTGATTTACCCTTACTTAAATTTTCTGTATTAAAGCTAACCAATCATATTGAAAAAGAATACAAAAAGGTTTAACTTTCAAGACTTCTAGGTCTATATACTATCCGAGATATATTTAATTATTATATTAACAAGTTTTAATTAGCAAGTAGCTCTTGTTCAGTGTCAAAATTAGCCAACCTTTTTTAGAGAATCCAAAAAGTATTTTACAGTATATTTCATGATATAATAAGCTAGAGCTAAAGCATACTAAGCAAATTGAGTCAAATTTTCTTCAGCGAATGATTTAAAATTAAATTTAGGAGACTAAAGGAAGAGTATGAAAAGCAGTCTGTTTTAGTTTTTATATAATGGTTTATTTTCATTTCTATATTATTTTTAAATGTAATACAAAAAGACCAAAGTGAAGTCTAAAAAGAATACTCTAATATGAAAATGCTCCTAAAGAATTTAGATGTATATTTTGAAATGTTAAAAATTTTAAATGTGTTTTTGAAAAGTTACTCTGGCTTTGAAGCCACACTCCTAAATGGATGCATCATTTCTAGTGGTCATGGTCCACGAGGGAGATCACACAGTTGATACCTTACCGATGCTAACCATGCACCAGGCACTTGCTCTCCACATTACTCGCACTAATTGAGCCTCACCACAATCCTGGGGACTACGTATAAATTTTACCCCTAATTTACAAATAAAAACCTGAGGCACAGAGTTTGAAAATGTACTAAAATTGCACAGCTATAAGGTTGGGGCCAAATTCCGTCTTATTCCCACTCAGCCATTGTACCTCTCTACATGGAAAGTGGTTGGTCAACAGTGGACTGGGGAGACAACTTGTAAAACAAAATGATGAAAGAAGAGGAGAAGAACAAATGAATGAATGGGCAGGTATATGGCATTGATTCAATTACCTTCACCAAAGTAAAGGTCAACCTCTTATTTTATTCTAAGAAATTAAAATAGCTTTACAATACAATTTTATGGGTCATCCATTTTGTTTGGTCAGAGCAAATATTATGAGGGACTAATTTTTGTCATCAAGTAGCCAATAAGGCAGTAAATAGAACTATACAGTGACTTCAGATTTGTGTTCCAAATTTCTGGCTTTCCCCCTATTTAGGTTTCTGACCTCAGACAACTATCTATCTTTCTGTGACTTAACTTCCTCATCTGGAAGGATAACAACTATGTAATAATAAAATGTTGTGGAGTTTATGTGAGATAACATGAAGAAAACAGCTCACAGTAGCCGCTCACAAAACATCAGTCCCAACTAAGTGTGCTCAAAGGATGGAATAAAAACATACACAAACTATAGCTGAATGAGCCATAAGGGAATTATAAGATTCTTTGTTTTCTGAGCCGCAAACTTGCATGCACCATAATATACTTGTGATACACTAGGGCTAAAACTCTCTTATGTAAGCTGCTCATGTTCAGTTAACTTCTCAATCTTTTTCTCCTAATCTCGCAAAATTCTCATAAACTCCAGGCAACTCTGAGAAGTAGCAGGATTATACAATCAGGAAGTCAGGAGATGATGTTTCTCCCCTCTTATCTCTTTTTCCCCCCAATTACAGACCTGAACTGTTAATCTTGTTGGCAAATTTGAGAGGATGAGGTCTAGCACCATTCAACAGAAAAGTAATGTGAATCACAAATCCAAACCGATGTGAAACTTTAAATTTTCCAGCAGCCACATTTAAAAAACAATTTTTAAGGCAAGTGAAATTAATTTTAGTATTTTATTTAATATATCAAAAATACTATTATTTCAACATGTAACCAATATAAAAGAGGTATTAACAAGACAACTTTTTTTTTGCACTAAACCTTTGCAATCTAATATTGATTTCACACTCATGGTACACCTTAGTCTAGATTAGCCTACTCTCAAATGCTCTATAACCACACATGAGTAGTTGCTACCATACAGGATAGTGCAGGTCTAGAGATCACCAGACAGCTACAATAACTTTCTCTGCAAAATGTGATAAACTGCAAACAAACAAACAAATAAAAGAGGTTATTAAAATTATACAGCTAATGAAAAATTGAGTTTAAAAAGCTGACTTACAATATACTTTAAAAATATAACAGTTTATTATTTAAAATGTGTAAATGAGCCTTTTTTTCTGTTTTAGACACAGCTTTTCCTTGAAATAATGACACCGTAGGAATATTTATTTCTAATATCACCTGAATATTCTGCAGAAGTTCTGTCACAAGTACTAGGAGCTTGACATTAATTGAAACAATGTAAAATTTTCTCAAATGATCATCATAATGAATGTTATTTAATGCAAATCACCAGGACTATTTATATTACTTACTTGATATCTTACATCTTAATGAAAAAAGTCACATCCCTAGAGGATTTTGCTTTACTCTAATGCTTGTTAAATAAATCGGGGCTAAACTAGAATAGATTGCCAGATTTCTGTAGTATAAAACAGTAATGCGGCAAGAATTGGATTTCTGCAGAATAAAAACTGCAAAGATATTAAAGTATCCTCATGTGTGTTTTGTTGTTGTTGTTGTTGTTTGTTTGTTTTTTTGTCTATAGCTCCTGGGAGTTTTGTTTTTGAAATTTTAAAAACTTTTTTCTTTCAAATTAATTTGAAAATGCATAACCCAAAGAGCGACATGCCCATGTTTCATTGCTCCCATTTCTATTCTCCTCATTATTGAAATGGAAACTAAGTAAAACCCCATGGAAGAGACTTTGCGGCTAGAAACGAGAACGAGACTAAACTGACAGTACTATTTGGTTTGGCCAGACATTCTAATAGGAAAAATACAGCAGCCGAAAAAATATTTTGGAAGGAGGACAAATTTAACATTAATTTTGACTGTGGTGTCAGGAGAAAGGTATGCATTACAGAAGACTTTTCAGACCATCCCACTTTGGGATACAGTAGACAGAAGGAAGAAAACTCCTTCAATTAAAGGAGTTTCCACTTCTCTGCATGTATTACCACAAGAATTAAAAAATTCTTATCACTCCTTCTGGCACCTGTGAGCAAACGATTTCACAATCTTCTCCCTATATACTTGATGTCATCTGACAGAATGGTCTAGTTCACTGTTTGCAGACAGGATGGGCCATAAAAGAGGCTTAGACAGGGAAACAGGACACCTGCATGCCCCTCCAGAAGCAAGACAGGTATTACAGATGTGAAAGGATTATTCCAGATGTGAAAAGATCATTCCAAGTGTGCGGAAGAACAGTGCAGCAAATGAGCATAGTATCTGAAGGGAACGGGGACAGGTAAGGAAGCAGTAGGAAGGAAGACTATCAGAATTATCAGGAGTACGCTACAATTTAGTGTCAAGAAGAAGTAAAATTCAGAAATCCCAAGAAGCAGCCCCTTAGAAGGAAGTTTGCCAGCAAGTAGAAAGGCTTCAAAAACCATGGTAGGAGATCACCAGATAGCTACAATCACTTTCTATGTAAAATGTGATAAATTGCAAAGAGGCAGGAATTAGTCCATGAGAAGGGGAGTAGAAATTCTAAGTACTGGTCATCTTCCTAGACTAGGGGTTGTTAGGCTGATCCAGTTGCCTATGAAGCCCAGATGAGTTTCAGAAGACCCCCTAAAAAATGTTTAATCGGATCCTCAAAGTGTCTACTAAATAGAAGTTACCAATTTATTCTAAGGGTTTAAGGGCTTAGCTGTTTGGCAAAGAGAACTTGAAGTTAAGACTGTCATCCCAAACAAAAGGGAAAAGTTAAATCCCCAAGCCTGCGTGTAGTTTCCAGTTCCTTAAGTCCCTCTGGCTGAAGGGTGGGTCTTATAAACCTGTAGAGTGGCCAGTTTACAGAAGAAAGTCAGGTGGCTCCAGCAGAAGGGAGAGGAGTGACACAGAGGTACTGGGAGTGATAACTCTTTCCGGCCTCTGCTCTGTCTTGTTTCCTTTCATTTTTAGGGAATCACTGACAGGTTCCATCAGGAAGTAAGTTTTATCAAATATGTTTTACACCGTGTCTTTCTTTCTCTTTTCTCCATCACTCCACTAAGATAGGAACACGGTATTTTCTTATGATAAATAGATTTTTTTACAAACTGACATAGGAAGAACATTACAGCTTAAATTATATTTGATTACTTACATATTTTACTATCGGTGTCCTCTCATCTCATGGGAATTGAACATTATAAATTAACAAAAGATTATCTCGACTATAGAACTTTTAGTCATTACAGATGATGCTTCATAAAGGTGCCTCCTTAGCCAATATTGTGACATTAGGGTATTACTTGGGGAAAAATACTAAGAAAATGAAGTAAGCTTATAAAGACCAGCCACCTGTTCTTTTCTGTAATGCGGTTTACATTAGGGAATCCATTACTTTTTACACTGACTTAGGAAAATAAATGACTTCACTGGAAAGTCAGGCAGATCCCAGCCTTGCAAGGAAGTGGGGTGGAACAAAGGGAGAAATACAGCCTTATGTTCTTCCTTTACCTGAAGGTTTGGTAAATGGGTCACTTTAGTGGTGAGGTGTATTTTCTTAGGTATATGTAATGCACGCCTTTTTATTTTTAATTTTAGCTTTTTGAAATCAATACTTTTTTTAGAGCAGTTTTAGGTTTACAGAAAAACTGAGCAGAAATTACAATGTTCCCATATATCTCCTTAGTCCCTGTACACACCGTTTCCTGTTATTAATATCTTGTATTAGTGTGGTACTTTTGTTACAGACGCTAATCCAATATTAATACATCATTATTTAAGTCCACAGTTTACATCAAGATTCACTTTGTGCTATGAACTCTAATAATGTAAACTATTCACCCCCTCCTCCATTCTGCCCTCCTCTTTTTACTTTAAAAAATCATAATTTTCAACAGGAAAAGTGCAATTTTTTTTCATAGGACATACTAGACTTAGTTTTTTACAGGGAAACTAAAACTTACCGGTTCAACAAATTCAAACTTCTTTTTTTCTTGAACTTCTTGAATTTTAAAGACATATTCTAGTGATGCTTCATAGAAGTTTTGATGCTCTCGGTCAATCTGTGTATCTGCCTAAAGGGCACAAAGGCAAATCATGACACACGGAGTAATTACTGATGGTTCTATGTGGGACAGGGACTCAAATGCTGTTCTACTCTGAAACTTTTATTAAAAATTAAGTTCTGTCGGAAGTTTTTATATAGCAGTTATTATGTCCTTGGAATAAAGAGACTAGGAAAACACAGTCCTTGCCCATAAGAGCTTATAGTGTATGGGGTGGGAGGGGGGAAAAATACCAAACAAGCATACAACATTCATTACATTTTTAAAAATAATATAGAAGAGGTATATAAATATATTTGAAAATCTCTGGGATCATAGAAAATGAGTCTTAAGTTCTGGGAGAAAACGGTGGTGGTTTGAGTTGAATTCTAAGATGAATAACTGGCAGTAAGTAGTCAAAAATTTTAAAAAGGGTTACTCCCATGAAAAAGTAAAGAGACATGACAGTTTGACAGAGTCTGTTGACAGAGAAAGTGGAGGGAAGCAGGGAAAAGTAAAGCTGGCATCACACCATAAAAGTTCTTGAACACTGTATAACAAATCTGCATTTTAATTGAGAAAGAGTCATCTGAGAATATTAAGCAGGAGAGAGCCACATCATTAGGTAATGTCTTAGGAAGAAAATACTGATAGCAGAGCCAAAAAAATTCTATGGTTTTAACCTAATGATTCATGCTCCATCAATGTCATGCACATTTGTGCTACATGACTGCAGAAAGATTCTACTGATAAAGTGTGGGAAAAGTATTGAGATAATTTCATTTCTTTTTGACATTGCCTCTTCTCCCCTCTTCTATACCCACTACATCCTCGGATGCCCTCTTTTAAACTGACTTTGGTTTAATAGAGAGGCGTGATTTCACTTTTCTTGCCCAATTTCACACTCCTTACTACCAGCTGAGATTACTAAAAGCAGATGAAAAAAAATGGGCTCTTGGTAATGCTAAGTATCCTCCAGCAACAGTTTGGGAATAGAATATTACTTTGGAGCCATTTTACAATAATTTCACAAACAAAAGCTTAAAAAAAAAGATAAAATTAAATTTGCTGGCTTGGATATCATAGTATCTTAAAACTTCATTTGAAACACCTTTAAAAATAATTATACTTACTATGCATTTATTTATATAATTAAAAATAGGTCAATATTATTAGCAACTCAATAGGGGTTTTCAAAGTTGAGAATTCTAAGTTTCTAAACTAATATACAAAAGAACATATAAGTCAGGTAGGAAATTTGAACCAGAAGCTTTTCAGCTTCCAAAGATTGTTTAAGAAAGATACAAGTGTATGGCCATGCTACCCTGAACACGCTTGATCCTGTCTGATCTCGGAAGCTAAGCAGGGTCAGGCCTGGTCAGTACTTGGATGGGAGACCACCTAGGAAGACCAGGTGCTGTAGACATAAAAATATATTTAAAAAAAAGATACACATATCAACAAAAAGACAATTAGTATTCCATACAAATCATATATATTTTCTTCTTACCACTGCTTAGAGGAACACACTATTTATAGAATGAATGATAAGGAGGTATAGTTAGTGGTATGCTAACAAATCTTTAACAACTGGCTTTCTTGGGGAAAGCCTGATTTGAAGAATCTGCTGGTTTTGGTGGTGTAAATACTTCCAAAACAGCCAGTTCCAAACCACAAACCCAACATCACTGAATGAGGGAGGTAGATGAGAAAATTGGCTCTCCAAGAGAAAGCTCCAGTATACCACTGGGTGTAAAAGATACAAGAATATTTTTAGTCTCAGAGATAACATTCTAGTCCACATGTTATTTCTGAAGGTTTTATTTACTTTAAAAGATAACATCATTGTGTTGACTAGCACATGGGAACAATCAAGAATGTTGAGACACTTTTAGAGCATAAATGATTATTTTCAGTCAACAAAGCTGTGCAGAAAGAGCACAGCCGGCATGGATGCTATCCACTGAAAGGCCTGCTTACGAGGCTGGCCTTTGGCTGGCATCTGGGAATGTTAACTTTGAGAGCATTCCCAGCACCCTAACTGATAAAAGTAGCACGCTATGCCAAAACTGTTTGGGCAAACAATATGGTTTACTTCAAACACCTGCTTCCCTTCTGGGAGTCTGGAATTTGGTAGAAGCAGAAAGTGCCTATGTGACCAGCTCTCAATAAAAACCATGGGCACTCAGTTTATCATGAGTTTCTAATAGACAACATTTCACACGTTTTAACGACTCATTGCTGCGGGAATTAAATGTGTCCTGTGTGTTCCCACTGGGGAATGACTCTTGGAAGCTTTTACCCGGTTTCCTCCAGACTTCGCCCTATGCATCCTTTGCTGATTTTTCTTTATAACCTTTCATTGTAATATATCATAGCCATGAGTCCTCCTAGCAAGTCACCAAATCTGGGAGTAGTTTGGGGGACTTCTAACACAAGAGAATTAAGTCATGTCCTCAGAAACTTATTTCCCATGCACAATCCCATCTTATCAGAGGTGGTGGGGTGGGGGTGGGGGGGAACAAAGAAGGATGAAAGAAAAATAATCCCCCTTGTTATTTAGCAGTTATAGATATTTTCCATCACCTCTAATCAAGATGATTTTGATATACCAAATCTGCTTTAAAAGGTCATCTAGAATGCACAGTGATTAAAGAACAGCTTAATTCCTTTTCAGTATAAGATTTAGGAAGACATTCTTTGACTCCCTTTAGTACCTGAGCTCATAGTGTGTGGTTCACCAGCAGACATTTGTTTATATACACATTAGCAAGTGTTACTTTTTGTTTTGAACTAGATAAGGAAGATAACCATATAATTTACTGTCCAAACTCTTTAAACTGAAAGAGATCACTACTAATAATTATGCCAAAACACCAGGTATAAACTGTTATTTACACAGCAAATAGTAAAGTTAACCTACTAAGAAACAAAGTTAACAGGAAAACCAGTGGAGTAGGGGGAGATAAAAAGAGAAGAGTTTGAGTGAGGGAATAGGGTCCAGAAAAGTTATGCTTTGGAAGATCAAAAGGTTTTGTTTGAAACAGTTTGAAATGAGAGAATGAATGCACACTTCATCTCCTAGACATTGCAAAAGCTTGAGGAAGATATTGACAAGATCAAAGCAGAATTTTAAGAAGATTAACGTGAGGATGGTATAGAACATAGTGATTAAATGGTGTGGCTGAGTGCATATCACTATAAGGAGATCTCTTATTTATTAAGGGCAAAGGTGTGTGGTATCTCTCAGTAGGCAGAGAAGCTGAAAGATGTATGAGAAACGAGGGGGAACAAAGTCTAAAACAATTTTGATACAAGAAATACCAGCATTAACAGAAAGAAAGAAGCAAGAGCAAATTTGAGAAAATGTTGAGGTATGAGATTTCACATGTGTCACTAAGAAGTGGTAAAGTCCTGGGCAGTGGAAAGATGGTCAGGCATGATGAAATCATGACCTGAGAAACACTCATCAAGATGTTAGAAATGGTATGGTAACAGTAGAGATGTTAGGGACATAAATTGAAGAGTAACAGAGGTAAAGGGTAGAATCAAAGAGATTCCCTTCAGGAGGTAGAGATAAGAGGAATCTGTTCGAAGCATATTTAGTGATACGTGGAAACCCAAATTCTTGGATTCTAAAAGAAGTTCTTTTTCCCTTCCTTTTTTATAATTATAAAAGTATTACATATTCATTATTATAAGTTTATTAGATAATAAGAACTGTAATCCCACTGTTAATATTTTGACATGTAACACACACAAACTTATTTTAAACAAATCTGAATACTGTACATACTATTTCATTTAAACTTTGGTTTTTTTTTGCACTTAAGCTAATATTTCCCAATGTCTTTAAGTGATTTTCCCAATAAAATTTTTCACAGCCATATCACATTTCATTTTTGATCAAGCTTTATACGTATACTTACCTTAATCATTCTTTTGTGCCATTTCACGTTTCTAAATTTTTGCATTGTTAATAACTCTTGGTTCAAAATATTTATATAATTTATTTTTTATGTTCATTTCTGATCATTTCTATTGGGTTAATTCCTGCCAATAGAAATCATTTCAACTATCTTGCACATTTAAAATTTGTTAAAATATGTCATCAAATTTACTTCAAGAATGATTGAATGATTTTATGTTTCTACTAGAAAAGCAAAAGTGTGTTCAGGTTCCCATACCATCACTTACAATGGATATTACCTTTTAATAAATTAAACTAACTTCATATTGCTATCAATTTGTGATACATGTGACACTGAAACTTACAATATTCACCACTGTTTATATTTCTTTTTTGATGAAATGCCCATATTCTTAGCCCATATTCAATTGAAGACTTTTATCTTTTTCGCACTGATTTGCAAACGCATCTTGTTTATAAGAGATCCTATGTTATAATGCTGTAATCCTATGCTATATGCTATATAAATTCCCCAATGCTTTGTCTTTTAATTTGATTTAATATCTTATGAACTAGACATTGTTTTTATGCATTCTGGTCTTTCTACGTTCCCTTTATGATCTCTTCCTCTTATTTTGTGCTTAGAAAGAAATGATCTAATCATATATTAAATATTACTTCTTTTCATCTACTGCAAAGTCTATAATCTTGACGACTCTAATTCCAATTTTGTTTACTCCAATGATCCATCTAAGTGATGGCTTTGGAGCTTTAGCAACACAAGTGATCCCTAGTTCGGTCTTGGAAATGTGGAGCCACTTACTTTCCATGATCAAAAAGAACAAGGAGTCAGGTAAGAAGGCACAGAGGGGTCTGAAAACTTAGTAAGTTTGATGCTGACAGAGGATGAGAGCTGCTCTAGATAGGGACAGATAACTTTTGATGTCATGTCACAAAATTAAATATGTGTGTGACAGTATCTCCCTATAACAGGTTGATTCCTGGAAGTGAGGAGAAAAGAAAAACCAAGCCACATTTTTCTTTGTCTACATTATGTGCTCTGAGGAGCTGCTATGGTTGTGTTGTGGGCTGTGCCTTCTGGAAAAGAAGTACGTGCATGTGAATGAAGAGGGGCAATTGGAGGACATTATTAACCATGTTATAGGTTTGTCCAGCCTCCAACTAAATACAGAACCAGAATGGATATTTTATTTTACCACAGCCTAAGGGATTGAGGGCCACTAACAAGCAAAGTATTAAATATTGAGCTAGGTCGTCAGAGAAAATTAAAGCATATCCTCTAGAGTAGGGGTCTTCAATGGGCTGCATCAGGCATTAGATTCTCATAGGAGCACTGGTCCCTGGTGCCAAAAAGGTTGGGGAACATTGCTCTTGAGGACATTCAAATTTAAATAAAGTTAGCATTTGTCCATGAGTGGTCTCTTATATTCATCAAGAACCTGATGAACCTACAACCCTTTTTAGAGACTAAAAACTACCCTCGATTTTGAGGTCTTCAGTTTTTAAAATGACAACTGACTATGGCACTTGGAGATAATTATGGGAGCTTTTCTGCATGTGACTTCAACTATAGACCGCATTCTCTCTTAGGTTTATTCTAATGCAATATGTTTAGAGAGAAATGTTTAAAGAGCATTTAAGAAGTTTGGAATAGATGAATACAATATTAAATCTGCATGGAACCACAATAACCCCAAATAGCCAAAACAATCTTGAGAAAGAAGAACAAAGCTGGAGGCATCATGCTCCTTAATTTAAAACTATGTTACAAAGCTATGGTGTATAAAACAGTATGGTGTGGCATAAAAACAGAAATAGACTAATGGAACAGAATACAGAGCACAGAAGTACACCCATGCCTATATGGTCAATAAATTTATGACAAAGGAGACAACAGTATACAATTAGGAAAGAACAGCCTTTCAGTGAATGGTATCAGGAAAAAAATGGACAGGTACGTGTGAAAGAATGAATCTCGACTCCTATCTTATGTTGTACCAAAAATGAACTCAAAATGGATTGAAGACTTTAACGTAACACCTGAAAACCATAAAATGCCTAGAAGAAAACATAGGTGGTAAGCTCCTTAACATAGATCTTGGTGGTGATTTATTTAAAGTCCTACACCAAAAGCAAAAGCAACAAAAGCAAAAATAAATGAGACTATATCAAAATAAAAAGCTTCTGCACAGCAAAGGAAATAATCAACAAAATAAAAAGGCAATATACTGAAAGAAAGTATTTGCAAATCATATCCATTAAGGGACTAATATCCAAAAATATATAAAGAACTGATATAACTCAACAGCAAAAAAGTAAATGGTCCTATTAAAAATGGACAAAACATATGAATAGACATTTTTCCAAAGAAGACATACACAAGGCCAATACCTGAAAAGATGCTCAGCATCACTTATCATCAGGGAAATGCAAATCAAAACCACAATGAGATATAACCTCACACCCATTAGAATGACTATTACCAAAATGACAAAAGATAACAAGTGTTGGTGAGGATGTGGAGAAAAGAGAATCCTTGTGCAGTGTTGGTAAGAATGTAAATTGGTGCAGCCACTATAGAAAACACTATGGAGCTTCCTCAAAAAATTAAAGATAGAACTACCACATGATCCAGTAATTCCACTTCCAACTATTTATCTGAAGAAAATGAAAACGCTGACTCAAAAAGATGTATGCACCTCTACATTCATTAGCATTATTTACAATAGCCAAGATATGGAAAAAACCTAAATGTCCACATCCATCAATGGATAAAACGATAAATGGTGGTGGTGGTGGGGTTTGTTTGTGTGTGTGTGTGTGTGTGTGTGTGTGCGTGTATAAATAATGTAATATTATTCAGCCACAAAAAAATAAAAATGAATAAAATCTTGCCATCTGTGACAACATGGATGGACCTCGAGGGCATTACACTAAATGAAAAGTCAGACATAGAAAGACAAATACCATATGATCTCTCTTACATGTGGAACCTAAAAAATAAAAATAAATCTCATAGAGAACAGATTGGTGGTTATGGTTATTAGAGGCAGAGGATGGCAAGGGGGATAAAATTAAAAAAAAAAAAAAAAAAAAAAAAAGGAAAGTGAGGATGGAACAATGCAGATATAAGAGCTTTCCAGACAGAGCAAACAGTAAGTATAAAGGTCCTGTGTTATGCCCAGTCTTGGCTAATCTAGGCAAGACCGAAAGTTAATATAGCCAAAACATGGAGTAAAGAGAAAAGTCAGGCAAGGGAAAAAAACAGAAGTAGTTTGGGACATGTGAACATAATATTAAATTGCAACATAAACTTAAGATTAAATACGCCTGTGAAAATTCATAGAGAATGCAGTTAACATTAATATGTTGGCTAGGTGGAGGGCCAGAGGAGGTAGGGAGCAATTGGGGGGCATCGTTTTATAAACTATATAGATGTCTAACCAATGTACTGTATACTCGAAACTAATTAAATAAATTTAAAAAATAAAATAAAATAAAAATATGCCTGTGAAAATGAAAACTATAATTTTCTTAAGGGCAGATTTTTCTCCATTTCACTTTAGCCACAAAATCTTGCAATAGGCAAACAATTGTATATTAAATTATCTTGTTTTACTAGCAGGTGTTAATAACAAAGTACAGGTAATAAAGAATTCATGTTTAAATAACAAAACTTCCAAATATTAAACATATTTAAATGAAGACATTCGAGTCCCTTAATGAGAACACCAGAGTGTAGAAAAAAGGAATCAGAAGCAAAATGTCACCTTCCCACAGCTTTCTGGTGCAGTGGAACTCTGGTCATAGGCTAACTCATCGAGCATCCCTGTGGCTGAATGTGGAGGTAAGAGAAATAAGAAAATGAAGAGGGAGAGCAGAGGACCAGGTTGAATTTGAAAAGCAGCTCAGGAAGGAAGGTGGCTTTGCTGGAAGGGTCATGATGAGGTATTTAAAAGAGGTTCTGGACTGTGAAACCTAGCAGTACAGAGAGAAGAGGGAAAAGAGACTAAAGGAGACTCAGCATGGTACAAGGTTCCCTGTGAGGGTCTGGAGAGCAGCAATGAGCCAAGCTACCTTAACTTCCCACTTGCAGTTCTGAGATACCCATTGTAGGCTGGTGGGGGCAGGGGAAGGTATGTGAGTATCAAGAATTTTTTGCTGCTAAAGTGGAAATGACAAGAGAGTCTGATTTTTAAAAAAACATCCCATCACTGGAACTAGAATTGCATTATTCCTTAAAGGACGACAAGATTTTACTAATTACAGTGAAAACACTACCAATGAAAAGGACAGATATTTCAAAAAAAGGGAAGAATTGGACTGTTGATATGCAAACATGTTAGTAAAATATTTCTACTGACTGTTCTTTAAGAAAATTTATGTAACAACTGAGATTTTAAAATGTGCACCTGTACACCTTTTTTTTCCCCCCCTAATACTGAGGCAATGCCGTAGAAACAGATATTTTTAACTTAATATAAAAGCTATAATTCTGGTAGGTCCTCCCATTTAAAATATCCCCAACAAGAAAATGAAAGTCTTGTTTCATTCTTTCTCATTGTTGAAGGAAATACTAATCTTTTATTTGCAACTGTTAATATTAAATGTCATAAGGCATATACCATACTCAGCACAGTCCCTGTCCATAGTAAATGCTCATTTAACTATTATTACCATTATTTTGTTAAAGAGTAGCAGATTCTGAGATACCTCTACCTTTGGACATTTGGACTTCACATGACTTAATGTTAATGCCCTTTCCACACTTCAATTGGAATAGCTTACCTCTTGCAAGTGGGACTCCTTTTTCTTTGCAGACAAATTTAAATGCTTATCAAGAATAGAATAGTATTTTTCACTCTCCTTGTCAAACTTCTTCTTTCCATCCTAGAGGATAAGAAGAACAACAAAACATCCAAATCAGAGCCTTGAGAAAACCTTGATTTTCACCATTTCCATCAGATGTGCAATACATTTAAGATTTAGTGAGCTCCGACTACCAGCAAAACCTGATGGAGTAAGAAGAAAGACCTGAAACAAAAGTCATTTGAACATGTATTCTCTCACAGAAGCTCATGGAACTATCTTATGGAGGAGCTAGACTGGCTATAGTATAACCCCACTGAGCACTTTGTAATTGATTCTCAATGACAGATTCTGATCTAATAAATCCAGCTCAAGAGAAAATGATTCCTTTAAGCTTTCTGGTGATTCATATGAGATAAGATATAATCAGTTTCGAGAAACACTTGCACAGAGTCTTCTCGAGGAATCATATTATTTCTCAGCCACAAAAAGACACTAGATATTTCAAACCACTCGCTCCTGACAGGAAAGAAAACAGACTTTTAAAAGTGTGAAATCATTAAATAAGGCACTTCAAAGTCAAATTTAAAAAAAAAGAAAAAAAAAACAGCAATATCTGTATCATACACTCAACATAACTAATATCTGACCTTCGCTTATCCCTAAAAAATGTTTTGTTTTGCAGGGGTAGCTGTAACCAGGCCGGCCTTTTGTGGAGAAGGAATATAACTTTACCTTCCATTCTATCGCATTCTTCTATAGAAATGCAAATAGAATAAAACTCTAAAAGGAACAGGACATGCCTGGGCATGTAATCTTCTCCAACTATAAATATGTATGCTTTTTCCATTTATGATTCCATATGCAATAAACACTAGGTAACCACACTCATATTTCAATGGCCAAAGTAGTTTTTTTTCCTTGCTTTTATTTCAGTGTTTCCAGAAGTATAATCTCTGGACTGCTTTAATCAAAGTCAAGTATTTTTAAGCCTATTTAAAATGCAGATTCCTATTTCTCCCATCCAGAGATTCATGCATTGTTATTTTTAACAAGTTCTGCCCTGTTGTATACCTGAAATTAACATAATATTGGATGTTGACTCTGTTGTAAAATAAAAAAAGAAGCTCTATGATTATGCATGTTTTACTTCACTATTTGCATAAGTATTTGGAAGAGGTTAATTAAAAATAATGGATAGATGAATAGATGGGTGAGGATGGGAGTGGGGAAGGAGGGAAGGAAGGAAAGAAGTGAGGAAAAGACAGCCAGGCCTCTGGCCTTATTTCTCACTATTCTGAGTTGTCAGATCCAGGTTAACACATCCAGGTAATTCTATTTTGATCCAATGACACTCTGTACATTTAATCTCCTCAATTATATTTCCAGGAATACAGCACAATCTAGTTCCATATCAGAAACTTTACAAAGTTAATTGGTAAAGTTGTGAACAGGAAGAGCAAGTAGGCCTTTGTAAAAGTCCAAATCACTTTTAGACCATTTAACAAGTACTGATATGTTTGCACTACACAGTATATACCTGTAAATGAGAGGAAAAAGTCAAAATCCTCAAAGGATTAAGGAGAAAATGTGGCCCTAATAGGAAAAACAAAATTGGAAAATAAATCCAAAAAAAGTCTGTAGAGGAACTCACACAACAAAACGCACAGACTGAAAAGGAAACAAGGAAGCCCAAGGTTCAGGATTGGAAGAGCTTGTCCTCTCCACTGATGGAGCAGATATCTGAGTGGACATTTCATCTTTTGCTCAGTAGATGTTCCTCTTAAAACTGGCGTTCCATGCTCACAACCCACTTGACCAATCTACCTTTCCAAAAGTCGCTCTCACTAGCCCCTCTGGAGCTCCTATTCTTTTCTTTTTTTCTCTCCAGGCCATCACCTCTCTGACATAGTGCTTATTTCTTCCAATTTCCACATACTCGAGCTATATCTATTTTAGCATCCAGCTCAAATATACCTCATTCATAAGTCCCCTCCATCAACTCTCTCCATTCTGAATGCTTACATAGCTTAATATATGGGTTTATTTATTATGTTGTTCGTGCTCTACATTGTAGCAGAAAAATTTATGTATACCTTATCCTTCTTAAAATTGAATATCTGAGAGAGTGCTCAGTAACTAATGAAAAAGTAGAATTCTTCCTCTTGTAACACTGGGCACCACAGTCCCTCACTGACATTCCACTTGTTTAAAAAGAAACAAAAACAGACAAACAAACAACAACAACAACAAAAACAATATCTATGTTACAAGGGACAATTGGCCTTAACCTAAATCCAATGGTACATGAACATTTGTGGGCAAGCAGCTGCATTACAGTTTAGTACATAAAACAAATTCACTTTCATTTTACAATGGGGGCTTAAAATTTTCACTGTGCACAGAAGAAACTGGTTGAAAGAGAAGAGAAGAGAACACAGCTGTGATGACTATACTTGCATCTTTGTTTTCGGTCAGTGCTTGATGGCATTTTTGGAAATGTTAATTCAGGGCCAACACATCAGCATTCCTGGCAATAGAAAAATTATTCCCAGAAGCACTTCCTGGATTCATTCAAACCCAGGCTCCTCACACCATGAAGCCAGCAGAAAAGATCTACTCAAAGGTTCCAATAATGTAGACAACAAAAACACACTGAATTCTAGCATAAAATTAAAGAGCAGAGTTTGAAGCGTAGGCCATATGAAGGATAACTATAATCTAGGGACGCACGTTCTTAAAAACAAAGTGCACTTTTTGCAACTCACGACTCCCCCCAAAAGTCATGATTTACTGCTCACTTAAGCCAAGTCTACATGGACTTAGTAACTTAACACCATATAGCTACCTCTTATCTCTGTGTCGCTTGTTGTGGATATCAAGTTAAGAATTCTCTCTGAAACCACTGCTGCAGAGCGGAGGGGAAACTAACCCATGAATCTTTACTAAATGAAATGCTATGCATGATCGCCATCTTCTCATTGTCATGGAATGGCTCAAAAAAGACATTTTCTGTAAATCTACTCTGAATGCATTTGAACTAGGTAATTATTAAAAATGAAGCCATGTATATGTATGTGTGACATGTGTGTATATGATAAAATATTTTAAAACAGATCATCAAAAATGGCAAACTAGTCTTCAAAACTAATTATAGGTGGCAACAGTATAAGTTCTGGGTCTGCGATCAATTTGTTTTCCAAACTACACTGCATTTATTCCGAGCACAGTGATCATATTGTCATTTAGTTTCTAAGATTAGCAAGTGTGGTCATATCATACCTTCACTTTACACATTGAAATGCGAAATGAAAGGAAATCATTATAGCATAAATTCCAAGTGTCAGTTTTACTCTTAAAGTTATTGTATATAACAGCAAAACTATGTCAAATAATTATAAGTATAGGTATATTGTGCAGATAAAAAATATTAAATTAATCACAATTAAAAATAAGGCCAAAACAATGCCTTTCACTGACCACAAGAGGGTACCAAAGATAAAGAAAACACTCAACCACATTTAGAAAATCACAAATATAAATTCTTGAAGTGTTATCTAATTGCATTTTTTCTGTAAAAGACTACTGCAAGTTTTGTTTAAACAATTATCTCAGCAACTTTTATTTCAATGTTACTATGATGTAAATTATTTAAAATAAAAAAGTGAATATTTCCTCTATTTCTTTAAAAGAAATAAAGCACATATTTTAGGATTTATGCATCATATTTTTAAGACAATCCCAATGTTATAATTACCACACAGGATACTGCAAAATTTCCCATGCAAATATTTATAGGTTAGTGTAACCATTAGTTAAATAAGCACTATGAGTATATTTTGAAAAATCCTTCAGGAGAATGTATAGTAGAAAAAGTAATATGAAGTAATAACAAATACCAATAGCTAAATTTCTATTTCAAAACTGTTTGGAATTCTTGTAAACTGGCACTGTGCTAGCACTGAGAGGATAAGCTATAACCCTGACTACACCAGTCCTGGCTAGACTTCTTCCTCTTCTGATGGTGGGATTTACGAGCTGCCTAGAATGGCGGCTGGGCTTACATCACTATCTGAGTCTCAGAAGGGCCAGATGCTGGGATATTCCAACCACACGCTGAGTAGGAGTTTCCTGAGGCCCAAGAGATTCCTGGTATCAAGAGAATCCCAAGTTGCTGAGAATCTTAATATAGCTTACAGAGCAATGTCTCCCCTGTGGGTGATTGCGCCCAAACATTCACAGTTTCCACAACCCATTCCCCACCAAGTCCCTCCTCTTCAATCTGCTGAAACAGACATTCCAAAAGGGTTTCTTCCGGGGTTATTTGCACCAGCACCATTCACATCTCCCCCATTCGCAATTACCTCACCAGCACCACCGCCAGGAAATCAGGCTCTTAAGAACCAAAGGGTTCATATTTGCCTTTAAAAAGAACTCCTAAACTGGTCAGACAGAAAAAAATGAAATAGCAATGTGTGAAGGGTATGAAGGAATAATACACAGATGAGAAAAGCCAACAAGTATGTGAAAAGTTTTTCAAACTCATAAGTAATAAGAGAAAAGCAAATTAAAATATTAAGATATCACATCATATCATCAGATATTGGCAAGAGTTAAAGCTGAATAACACTATACTTTGAGTGCAAGTGAAGATAAAGGAAACTTTATGTACTACTGGTGCGACTGCAGAGGGTTGTTATAGTCTTTCTAAAGAGAAATGTTACACTACTAAGTAGCATATATGTGTGTCCTAAGAAACTGCTTGTGTGTACATGTCAAAAAGATCCTTACAGAAAAGTCCATGAGGAAACGAGAATGAGGATATGCATCTGTGGGAACAGGAAGATAGCCAGGTATTCATTAGTGGACATAAAATGAATTAGATGTATACTGTGGAGTACTATACAGGAGTTAGAAGGAAATATTACAAGTGGAGGGATCTTAAAACATGATTCTGAGTGAAGAAAAAACACAAAACCATTCACGTAAATTAAAAAGCCATGCACAGAAAATGATACCAATTTTACAAGAACATAAAACAAAAATATACACATTAAACTCATAAGAATGGTTGCTATGTG